ATCCCAACACTTCGGAAGGCAGAAGCAAGAGGATCTCTTGATCTCAAAAGTTGAAGAACAGCCTGGGCAACATAGCGAGACCCTGTCACTACTAAACAAAAATTTAAAAATTAGTAGGGCATGGTGGCATGTGCCTGCAGTCCCAGCTACTCAGGAGGCTGAGGCAGGAGGATTGCTTCAGCCTTGGAGATTGAGGCTCTAGTGAGCCATGACTGTGCCACTGTACTCCAGCCTGGGAGACAGAACCAGACCCTGTCTCAAAAAAGAAAAAAAAGATACAAAGTAAAGGAAATCGCAAAGAAGGAAAATATTTGCGACATATATAAAAGGACAGGTTTAATAACCGTAACATAGAATTTATATAAAATCTAAGTACTTTCCGAAGTAAGAGGAAATATGTATACCCTAATACTGAAAAGGTCAAAGGATATGAATATATTTCTTTTTAAAATTTCCTTTTATTTTTAAAAGTGTTTTTTTTGTTTAGACAGGGTCTCTGTGTTGCCCAAGCTGGTCTTGAACTCCTGGGCCCAGGCAATCATCCCACTTCAGCCTCCCAAAGTGCTGGGATTACAGGTGTGAGTCACCACACCTCACCTGAACATGATATTTCTAAAAGAAGTGACGAGTAGCCAGCAAATGAATGAATACACAATTTCACTATTAATGAAATTCAAATTAAAATGATACACAATTTTTCACCTGTTAAATTGGCAAACGTGAAAGCAATTTTAATGCTTGGCGATAATAAGGATGTGCATGTTTGAGGTGTTTGTTGGTTGGGAGGAACTGAATTTAGAACACCCTTTTATTAGGACAATTTGGCTAGGTAGATATAAAAGGCCTTAAAAGTGGGCTTATCCTTTGGTCCATTAATGCCCCCCCCTTTTTTTTTCCCAAAGTGAAAATATTTTAATGTTTTCTTTTTCTGATTATGTAAATATTATTCATGGTCATAAAAAATTCAAACTATAAAAAAGGGTTAACAAATTATGTAAAAATTACCTGACAATCCTATCATTATAGATAATACTATTAGTGTTTTGGGAGCATCCTTCCATATCTCTCTGTCCATATGTAAACAGCCATATGTACTTTTGCATAAATGGATTTACATGTTCTCTTTTTGATTATCAGCACATTTTTTTGGTATTCTTAATATATTAATCACTCCTCCCTACCTCATGGTATTTCTGTTGCTATGGAGTGACTATCAAAAATGGGACAAAGGATGTATGTGCATTGAAATTATATAGATACTCCTGTATTGCCTTCTAGAACCATGATGCCCAATATCGTAGTCACTAACCATGCGTAGCTATTTAACTTTAAATTAATTAAGGCGAAATAAAATAAAATCCAGCTCCTCAGTTGTGTTAGCCACATTTCAAGTAGTCAGAAGCCACATATGACCACTGGCTACCATATTGGACAGTGCAGATCAAAGGATATTTCCATAACTACAAAAGGATTTGTTGGATAGCATATAAAGTTATCAACTTTACTACTTGTTAGGTTTCTTTCTGAGAGCTAAGCATAGCATCATCATAGGTTATTGTTTTAATCATCATAGCATGTTCAGCATAGCATTCTAAAGATAGGCTTGGAAAAAAAAAGTATGACTAAGTAATAGTGTTGCACTCTTGGTGTGTTCCAGATACTATGCTATGCACAGTGTTTTCATGTGGGCCATGTCATAGGCCCCACAGCAGCCCTATCAGGTGAGTATTATTGTGGTCCTCATTTTCAGATGGGGATATTGAAGCTGAGAAAGTTCAGTAACTTTCCCAAAGTTAGAGAGCTGGTAAGGATGGGGCTGTGACTTGAGCCCTGTCGTCTGCTGTCAAATACTGGCCTAGCCTGCCTCTTAGTGTTAGGTAGCTCACTGCTTGCCAACATATCCTCTGCTCTCTTTCTTCCTTTTCAGTTTCCTTACCCTGAATACTGTATATCTACTGTGTAATTTAATTGGACATTTAGATTTTTTTGTGTGTGAATTGTTGAGGCATATACTTTGCCCAATTTTACTAATAGTTTGATTTAAAAAATCGCACTGTAGGAGCTCTTTGTATTTTACAGCTGTTTCTAGGAATAATTCACAAGGAAGCCATAGAAATATTTATATGGAGATGTTCTTATTTATAATAGTGAAGAATTTGAATCACTTAAATGTCAAATAATAGGAAACTAGTTAGTTGAATCAAATATGTTCATAAGGAGAAATACTGTACAACCTTTACAAAATCATGTGATGAAAAAGTATTACCCAATGTAGGGAAAGGTTAACAGTACATTTCTAAATGAAAAAGGCAGACTGCTGAACTGTATATATAGTGTAAATCTATTTGACTTTTTAAAAACTATCAATATGTGTATGCAGGACCTAGGGAAAAAAACAGAAAAAACCTCCGTTGCCTCAGAATAACAGGGATTATATTTTCGGGTATTGGGATTCCTAGTGTATTTTTTTTTTTTTTTTTTTTTTTTTATATATGAGGTTTTTTGTAATCCCTAAGTTCACCTTGAACATATCTTACTTTACAATTAGGAAAAAAGAAAGATTGACTATATATATATGTATAGAAAAAAATGTTGCAAGTTTTCTAGAAAAAAAGTCAATTGTATTTTTTTGTGGTATGCATTTTTGGGGCAGTTGGTATTAATATAACATTATGCTAGGCTCTGAGGGAAATTCAAAAAGAAAACAAACACCGCAGATACCATTTCAACAAATGTGGTATGATTACCATTTCAACAAATGTGGTATGATTAAGTTTTTGCTATGTGTTAGACCTCATGCTGGGTGCACAGGCTGCAGAGGTGAGCAAGAGAAGCTTCACAGTGCCTGGATCTAGTGCTTGCCTTCCAGGAACATACTGTTTAATTGATGAAATTAAGCCATGCACAGATGAAAAGGTTGGTAAGGAACATATCCAATGACCACAAGAGACAGATATAAAGTGCTGTCACATAACAGCTGGCAAGGTCCTACAGCATGTCAGTTGAGATATATGGTAGAATTCCTTGTAAATTTTAAGGCACCAAAAGGATGTGGGCTGGCTGAAAGGAAAGGTTGATCCAAGCAAAGATACTGTCATGTACAAAGAAATCAAGAACTTTGTTTTGGGTTAGAAGGAGATCTAGCTATCTGTCTAGAACAGGGCTCCCTAACCTCGGGCTTAGGTTTAGGGGGATCTGTGAACCCTGAAACTATATATAAAATGTTATGCACATGTGCCTTTTTCAAGTGGGACAGTCCATAACTTTCATCAGAGTCTAAAAGGGGATTTCGGCTCTGAAAAGGTTAATAACCTAAATGAATAATGAAAAGTTAGGTTGGTTTGGCTGGCCAATGAGAGGATGGGTGGTAGTTGGGAGACCTTCAGTGCCATATTGAAGAATTTAAAGTTGATGGAGTGAAAACATCATCACTTTGTAAACCCCTGAAGTTAAACTATATAACTGTTTCTGCTATTTACTCAGAGCGTAATCACTCAGAAGAGAGTAATTAGCAGAAACAGTTATGTAGTTTAACCTTTTGGACATGATGATGTTCTACCTGAGAGTTGTTCTGGCTAACTTGTTTGTTTCCCCTAATTTTTTGTCTTTATAGGAAATATTTCTTTGAGGACTCATCAGAGTCTGTGCAAACAAAGTCTGTCTCCATTTCTCCCCCTTTTATCATGACATCACTGGAAAGCAGTTTATAGTAGTAATGTCTTTGGTGAAAATAATAAATTATGAAGTCTCTTCCATCTAGGTGCTTTCATTATGTGTAACTGGGCAGGCCCTGACTAAAGAAAAAAAAGAGATTACATTCAAAGACAAAATAGAGACCAGTGTTTGGGCTGGGAAGAACAGAGATTTTATTCTTTAATTTTGAAGGTTGATCTTTTGTTACTTTACGCAAGGCGTAGTCGCAATTTTTAAATATTATCTGACCTTGTTCTTTCCCTCTGAAAAAGGCTACCTGCACAAATTTCAGACCCATTTTGTCTGAGCTTTTTTGCATTTGTGAAGAAGTGATCAGACTCGACAGTAGAATTGGTGGGAGTGTTTGAAAGTATGATATGGGTACGGTGTGAAATTGATTTCCAGCTTAATTAAATCTATTGTGAACTTGTTAGTGAAGCAAATCTATGTGTTAATTGTTGACAAGGAGTTCCCCTCAGCTCACTTTCATGGGGCTTTATGTTATTCTCACTGCCCCCTCCCTTGCCTAGCATTCTAGTTGCTTACCCCCTCATCCTCAGCATGGCAGGCTCGGCCATTCCTCATCAATGACGTTATTTATCCTTTTAAAATATTCCAATCGCTCGTATTTGCTCTCTGTTTTGTACAGCAATGGAAAGAATTTCAGGAAAAAAAATGTGTTACTTAAAATAAACATGAAGACAGTATTGAGAGGAGTAAAATGAAATAAATTTGCTAGAAGGAAAAAGAGAAAAATGCAAAGGAAGGAATGGAAGGCACAAGCCCAGTAACGTGGTGGCACAGGTGCTATCTCCAGGTGAACAAGAAAGAACTTGTAGGTAACAGGGAATCTCACTCTCATCCCACCCATATCCTTTCCACTCGGCCCTGCATTCTCTTCTGCAGGTTTGAAGTGGCCCACATAGCCAATGTAGAGCTCTTCAGGAGATATTTTTACAGAAAATCCTCATCACATGGCCTCCGTTTGTTTATTCTCCTGCAGTTTTTTTTGGTTTTTTTTTTTTTTTTTTTTTTTTTTTTTAAAGACAGAGTCTCACTTTGTCACCCAGGCTGTAATGCAATGAATGGCACACTCTCGGCTTACTGCAACCTCCGCCTCCTGGGTTCAAGTGCTTCTCATGCCTAAGCCTCCCGAGTAGCTGGGATTATAGGCACCCACCCCCATGCCCAGCTAATTTTTGTATTTTTAGTAGAGATGGGGTTTCACAGTGTTGGCCAGGCTGGTCTCAAACTCCTGACCTCAGATGATCCGCTTGCCTCGGCCTCCTAAAGTGCTGGCATTAGTGGCATGAGCCACTGTGCTCAGCCTATTTTTTTACTTTTTTTAGAGATGGAGTCTCGCTGTGTTACCCAGGCTGGAGTGTAGTGGCATGATCTTAGCTCACTACAGCCTTGAACTCCTCTTGCCATTTTTTTATCCTTAAAATTTCCATGTCTCACTCTCTTGCCAACTGTTCTCTCTCATTTGGTCCCTTGATTGACTCTAAACTCAAACTCTGATAAAGCAGCGGATCAATGAAGTGTCTGTGGTTACTAAAGTAGAAGTTAGAGGCAGAACGGTGGCAGAGAGCCCTGGAATCTGGCCCTTGGTAGGTGCTCCACAAATGTTCGTTGAACAAATGAATAAGTGGAGCCAGGTTGTCTGTGCCCTAGTCCCAGCTCTCTCACATGCACTAGTGTTATATATATGTGTGTGTGTGTGTATCACACACACACATATATATAAATCTCCCTATGCCTCAGTTTACTCATCTGTAAAATGGGGAAGATCATTATAGGCTTGTAAATGAAATGAATTAATACTTACAAAATGCTTAAATTAGTCCTGGATCAAAGTAAGCTTTCAATAAATTGTAAGCTCTTATTTTCAAGCTCTCAGAACCAGAATACTTGAGATGTGGACAAAACATTACCTCTTAAGAGGTTTGTTAGGGAAAGTATAGCTGGAGTTAAAAATTTAACCTCTTAGAAAAGTCACTGTTCAAGCTACTGGTTTTCATCTCCACCATTCCCCCTAAACTGCCATTGCTTTGCTGAATTAGACACACTTGACCACCTTCCTTCTTGGCCTAGTTTTTTTCTGGGGTCATCCGTAACACCAAATATTTCTCTAAACTCACTAAGCATCTCTTCTTAATCTCCATTGCAAAATCCTTTTTGTTTACCTGTACTTATTTTTTTACTTTCATTTTGAAATAATTATAAGTTCACGAGAAATTGCAATAATAATATACTGGGAGGGCCCAAGTATCTAGTGTCCTTCAGTGGTAACATCTTGCGTAGCTATAGTTCAGTATCAAAACCAGGAAAAATGCATTGGGAAAACTGCAGAGCTTATTAAGATGTCATCAGTTTTATTTGTACGTGTGTGTGTGCGTGTGTGCCTATGCAATTTTGTCATGTTTAGCTCTGTATAACCATCACTGGAACTGTTTCACTACCACATGGCTCCCTGTGCCACCTCTTTATAGCTGCAGTTTCTAATCTGTTCTCTATCTCTATAATTTTATAATTCAAAAATGTTGTCCACATGAATCTGTAACCATTTGGCTTGGCTTTCTCCATTCAGCATGATTCCCATGAGATCCATCCAAGTTGTTGAGATTATCGATAGTCCGTTCCTTGTTATTGCTGCATTGCGTCCCATGGTACAGGTGTAGCATAGTTTGTTTAGCAGTTCACCCACTGAAGGGCATTTGAGTTGTTTCCGGTTTTTGGCTATTATGAATAAAGCTGTTATGAACATTTGTGCACACAGACATATATTGTGTGAACATAGGTTTTCATTTCTCTGGGGTAAATGCCCAAGAGTGGAATTGTTGGGTCATATGTTAAATGCATGTTTAGCTTTTTAAGAAACTGCCAAACTATCTTCCAGTGTAGCTGTACCATTTTATATTCCGACCAGCAGTATATGAGTAATATCATTTCTCCACAGCCTTGCCAGCATTTGGTGTTGATTTTACGTTTCACTTTAGTCATACTGATGGGTATGTAGTGATATCTCATTGTGGTTTTAGTTCGCATTTCTCTACTGGCTAATGATGTAAAAACATCTTTTGGTGTACTTGTTTGCTATCTGTATTGTCTTCTTTGGTGAAATGTCTGTCTTTTGCCTTCTCATATAGTTTGGATATTTGTTGCCTCCAAATTTCACGTTGAAATTGAATCCCTGGTATTAGTAGCAGGGCCTGGTGGGAAGTTTGGATCATGGGGAGGATGCCTCATAAATCATTTTTATAGTAGCAAGTTCTCACTATATTATTATTATGAGAATATACCATCCCCTCCTTGCTTTCTTCTCTTACTGTGTGATGCCTGCTCCCATTGCCTTCTGCCACGAGTGGAAGCTTCCTGAGGCCCTCACTGGAAGCAGATGCTGATACCATGCTTCTTGTACAGTCTGGAGAACTGTGAGCCAAATCAACTTCTTTACTTTATAAATTACCCAGCTTCAGGTATTCCTTTATTGCAGCACAAATGGATGAAAACAGTCTTTTTCTAATGGGATTATTATTTTACTGTTGAGTTTTAAGAGTCCTTTATATAGTCTAAATACTAGAGTTTTGCCAGAGATGTGGTTTGTAAGTACTTTTTGTTCCCATTTTTAGCATGTTATTCTTCCTCTTTGCTGCATGTATTAGTTTCCTATGGCTGCTATAACAAGTTATCACAAACATGGTGGCTAAAAACAACACAAGTTTATTCTCTTATAGTTCTGGAGGCCAGAAGTCTGAAATTTTAGTGAGCCCCAATCAAGGTTTTGGCAGGACTGAATAACTTCTGGAATCTTGCCTTTTCCAGGTACTGAAGTGACATTTATGACCCATTCCTCCATCTTCAAAGCCAATAGTGCAGCATTTTCAAATCTCTCTCTCTCTCCTTCCATTATCACTTCGCCTCTTGCCTTCTGTGTCAGACATCTCTCTTAGGAGGACATTTGTGATTACATTTGGGGCCCACCTGGATAATTTGGGATAATCTCTCTGTCTCAAGATCCTCGACAAATATTTTTTGCATTAATAAATGAGTTGTCTCTTCTGTGTACCTGGATCTCTGTGTAATTCTACACTTACCTTAAATAAAATTATCAGTATAATAATTGCCGTAGCTACACTGGTAGTTAGCGTCTCCATCCTCCTTAACTGTCCATCTTCTTTCTGACTTTCTTCTCTGTAGTAGCCTATGGTGCATTTGTCTATATTAACCAAACCTTGGGACTCTTCAAGCCTTTTGAACTTGCATAAACTGGACGTGCTTTAACCACTATCACAGAACTGGGACCCAACCAGCCTGTGGATAGTTCATAAAACAGTTCTGAATGCAGTCTTATTGCATCAGATACTGTCTCCTCACATCTCTCCGTGCCCCATCTCTGACCCACCAACCAGGTGGAGAAAAGAGAGGTCCAGTTTGCTCCTGCTGTGGGCTTCTTTCTCCTGTAATGGCCAAACGAAGAATAAGTGTCCTTTGAGCGTGGTTGGAGTAACTGAGGAAATCCTGTATGCCTTATGATAGGAAGTTGTCACTAATTAAATAAAGTAGAACTGGAAGTAAGAGACTAGTGCAGGAGACAGAAGCCACTGTTTTAACAATGCCTTCAACTTTGCGCTTTGTATGCCCTATAATGTGTATAAGTACCTGCACTTAAGTGAGATTCAAATCTTCCAAAGTGTCTTCAGGGCTGCCACAGTAAGGAATACCTTGCCTTTCCGGAAACAGCTGTACAGCAGTTATATTCTTTTGACTGCATTGAGTTGGAAATGAATGTACACTAGTCCAAGGGTTGTACTCTTCCCTTATTCTGATTCTCAGAGGCAGTATCAGGTTATACCAAGGCGTAACCTGCCTGCTTAAGCTCTCCGCCTGAAGGTAGAGTTAATTTTCCTAGGGCCCAGAGCTGCTATCATAGGGCAAGAAGAAAAATGAATGAATGGCCTGTGATAAAGGAAACTTTGAGAATATAATAATTGGTTTGCCATTCCTGGGATGGTAGTCATGGAAGTGTTCCTAAACTTGTTTTTCTCATTGATTTTTTTCAGTTGAGGTATACTTTATATACAGTGAGATGCACAGGTTGTAAATGTATCCTTCAATCCATTTTGAATAATGCAAACAGCTCTGTAATCCATGTCTTTATCAAGATCCAGAAAGTTTTCACCACCTCAGAAAATTTTTTTGTGTACCTCCCCAATCAATCTGCACATCCTCCTCCATGAAGCAACCACTGTTCCAGTTTCTGTCATTGTAGTTTAATCTGTTGTAGTACTTTGTGCAAAAGGAATCATATAGTATGTGTGCTTTTGTGTGTGACTTCCTTTACTTAGCATGTCTATGAGGCTCATCCATGTTGTCACAGTATCAGTAGTTCCTTTTTATTGCCGACTAGTATTCCATTATATGAATAGGACACAGTTTGTTTATCCATTTTCTTGTTGATGGCCACCTGTGCAGTTTCAGGTTTTGGCTATTAACATTCTTTTTAAGATTTTGGTTCTTTTTTAAGCTTTTTATTTTTTTTTAATTTTAATTTTTATTTTTTGTGGACACATATTCCCTTCTTTAAATACCCAGGAGTGGAATTTTGTTATAGACTGTGTGTGTGTTTACTTTTTAAATAAATTTTCGAAATGTTTCTCATAATGATTGTGCCATTTTACATAGAGTACTTCTAAACTCTTATTGTCTCACATAGAGTAGAAATTGTGGGACAGGGCAACATCCAGTCTGGTTACCTTTAGCTATTGGGACTCTAGAGGATAATTTCTATACTTTTTAAGAGAAGCAAAGGAATTTCAATGAGGAAAGAATTGTAATAAAGGATTTATAAATGTTATTTATTCCCTACCTTTTTGCAAATACGTATTCTATCTCTGAAAAGACACATAGACCCTGGCACTTTAAGTCAGTCACAGTCTCCTTTGATCGCATCTATTTCCAGTGAGAAGAAATCAGGGGCTCTGGACCTATGAAGGGGATTTTTTTTTGAGTCTCCCTTAACATGGACACAACACAGAACACCGGCACTAAATACCGTAATGGAACTATATTCCAGAAAAGGGAAAGCTACACTTCTTTGTTTTAGTCTTTGTACATATGTATCCTGTTCATGCTGCATCTCTTTCTTTCCTATACTCTTTTCAAGTATGAAGTATTACATCTTACAATTTCCACTTTGTGTTTCAGGCCAAAGAAGCCCTCGAAAATACTGAAGTTCCTGTTGGTTGCCTTATGGTCTACAACAATGAAGTTGTAGGGAAGGGGAGAAATGAAGTTAACCAAACCAAAAATGTATGTGAGTTGAGCAGTATAATTGCAAACATACAGTAGTGATGGGTGGACTGGAGAGAACTGACCACAGTTGGTGTGAAGATGAGACTGAATATAGTCCCATAACTGCCAGTGGTGGGTAGCTTTTCTTAACGTCTCTCTTTTTCAGTATCATTTTCTTCCTGATTTTGAAAGTGATACATGTTGATTTTTTTTATTGTGGAAAATTTCAGAACAATTTAATGAAGCCATAAAATCTTAGTGAATAATTTTCTGTTTCATAGAGTTTTACTCTAATGCTTGAGTGAAACCCAAGAGGGGATTTTATTTCATCAGAATATCATCATGGAAGAAACAAGTCTGTCTCTACTTTAAGCCAATCTAATATATGAAATTTTCATTTTACAAAATAGGTCAATTTAACTCATATTGCACTCCTTTTTTAGTACCTTTAAATAATATTTTCATCTTAGTACATTAAAAAAGTATCCTCAAATTACAGCTTTGGAGGGAGGTATGAAGATTATATAAAGGAAGCTATTTCTGTATCAGATAATTCAACAAACTAGGGTCTTCCACACCAGCTGCCTCTGTAGCTACATGTAGTATGTACATTTTAATAGCTTGTATGACTTTTATTACAGTTAGGTTGGGAAGTTCATGGTTCAAGGCAGTGCTTCTTAAACGTGGTATCACAACAATGTGTCATGGTAAGTATACTTGGGAAGTATAAGTAAACTACTAAATTTTGTGATTACAAAAATTCCTAGGTGGACTCAAAGATCACTTATACCTGTAATGCCATTCACACAGACTTTTGTCTTGTCGTGTGATTTTGGGAGCCAGAGAATAAGCTGGTGTTGATACCAGTGCTATGAGAACTTTAAAGTTCATCTGTCAGTCACATCTGTTGAAAAGAAAACTGATATTTAGCAAAACACATGTAAGATAGGAATCCAGATTCGCAAATCTTTTATTATTTATTTTTGACCATAAAACAACAGGATTATATTTTAATATATAACTTGTGTACAACCAAAAAAATAAAACACCACAGTAAAACAAACAGGAATAAACATGGTATTTCATTTGCAGTGCTTGACAAAATGCTCACATCCTTAATCAGAAATGAGCTCTTAGAAATCAGTAACAAAGAGACTAATATTACAAGGGAAGTGAAAATAAAAGGAACAGATGAAAATGAAATAACAAGTAACCAATAAGGCTATACAAAGCTGATCTAGCTTAACTTTAACAGAAGAAAAAAGCAATTTCTTTGCAACATTACATTATCTGTGATTTAAAATAGTGATATCTAATGTTTGAACAGTTTTAGGAAATGGGAAACATTCAAACACTGGGAAAGCTTACACTGATTATAGGAAATTTACTCAAAATGTAGATTTTGCGTATACTTCGCTCCAGCAGTTCCAATCAATAGGAACTGTTCCGACAAAGTAGTTGGACATTCGGATTTACATATAACCATGTTCACTGCATAGAAAATCTGTAGTTAATATGTCAGCCCCCCAAAAAACTTTTTTATCAATTTGCTTATGAAAAATAGTAGATTGAAGTGTAGAATTAGAAAGAAAAAAGGCACTTAAATAAAAATATAGTATTTCACAAAATTCTTTTTCCTTTGAATTCTTGAAAAAGACAGCTTTTTAATCAATCAGTTTTAAATGTACCCTGTGATAAGTGAGAAGCATGAATATATGCAAGTCATACTTTTTATTTTTATTTATTTATTTACTATGGAAATGCTTTGATAGAGGTAAACATGGAGTGAGAACAGCAAGTGGCCACACGGACATGGCTATCACAGAACACATTGTGCATAAATGAAGAATTTATACCGCCCCCACCCTTAACCCAGTAACAGAAGGCTCTAGGCCCCCTTTTCCTCAGTCCACTCCTCAAACTCTCCCTCCTCCTCAGCAGTGGCATCCTGGGACTATTGGTACTCGGATACCAGGTCATTCATGTTGCTCTCGGCCTCAGAGAATTCCATCTCATTCCTGCCCTCGCCTGTGTACCAGTGCAGGAAGGCCTTGCACCTGAACATGGCTGTGAACTGCTCTGAGATGTGCCTGAGCAACTCCTGGATGGCCATGTTGTTTCTGACAAAGGTGGTGGACATTTTTAGCCCTGGGGATGGGATGTCCCAGAAAGCTCTTTTCCCATTGTAGGGGATTCAGTCAGCAAAGTAGCTGCTGTTATTAAGCAGCTTGGTTTGGATATTAAGCATTTGCTCCTCTACCTCCCTCATGGACATGCAGCCCCTGAAAATGGCAGCCTCCGTTAGGTAGAGGCCATATTGGGGGCCATAGGCAGCCATCATGTTCTTGGCATCAAACATCTGCTGGGGGAGTTCAGCCACTGTCAGGACCTTCTTTGTTGTTTAAATGCTCATTTTGAAATACCTTTTTAAAATTTCAAATACAGAAAGTAGAAGCAGTTCTATTCTCATTTCTCTATGCAGGACTATTAAAATTTTGCCATATTCTTCCAGACAGTTTTCTTTCATATAAATCATATAACAATATACACATATATACAGTCTTTTAATTTTAACTCACATGTATAATAATTTCAAACAATGTTAAAATAATTACCATTATCATAACACTGAGCAGTATTATTTAACTGTCAGGATAGTCATTCCCATGTAGAATTAACATTTTTAAATTAGCCATTACCATTTTAGTTAGAAAAAACAGAAGCATGTACACATACCTCTGCAATTAGTTGATGTTTGTTGAAAAATGACATAATTTTAAATATCAATTTAAAATACTGTAAAACATACAAAATTTTTTTTTGAAAAAATGTTTTGAAGAATTTTTAAAAATGTTTTAATTACATTCATGTTGACTCACAAAGCAGTTATTAAGAGGATATTAAAACATATAAGTAATAAACATAATACAGCAATTAATTAATGTATAGATACTTATTTAGGAGTAGAATTCTGCATTTTAAATCATGGTCATATTTTCCAGTTTGCATTTTGTGTACGATATCTTTAAGATGAGAACTTTGAATGTCCTAACAATATCCATCTAACCCCATCCAGTGACCTGGGTTTCTTCTATATGCTGAAATTAACCTGGGTTTATTTTGTTATTCTGCGTCATAAAGAAGATTACTCTATAACTATAGCGTAGAAAGACTCTTGACCCCAAGTGAGAAGACCTGAGTTCTGCGTTTGGATCTGATACCACCACCACCACCCCGTTGCCACCACCACCTCCTCTCCCAGCTGTGTGTGATTAACACATGCCAGCTTGGCTTAGTTTCTTTTTCTTTAGTAGCAAAAGAGAGAGTTGCCTGAGATGATTGAGTTCAGCAATTGTTTATTGAGAGCTGTAGGGAGATTTGATTCCATAATTTAAATCTGATTTTTTGAAAGCACCTAAGTTGGGGAAACCTTTTTTTTTAAAACTCTCCATTTAGTTTTGGTGTGCAGCCAGGTTTGGGAACCTCTTCTCTAAAGTACCTTCCATCTCTGGTAATCAATTCTGTGATTCACCCATGTAGCCCCTTGGCCAGCTCTGCTCCCATCTGCCTGTAGCTTCTGTGGCATCTTGGGCCACTGTGCTAGCACTTTTCATACCCTGCCCTATCACACAGGTAAATGAGCCCCACCAGATTTTACGCTTGTTGAGGACAGAGACTTTTTATCCTACACAGAATTTATGTAGCCCAGTGACTTGTACATAGTTAGCACTCAGTGTAAATTATTGATAAATGCTATTGTCATGAATATTACAAATAATTATTCCATATAGAATCTATGATTCATTTTAAGCTATTTTAGTAAGGGAGAAAGAAAAGGAGACAAGAGCTAGCAGAGTACATGTATAGTATTATGTGGCACCATGCTTCATGTAATTCAGATTTATAAGGTGTATAAGTATAGATACCAGTGTATACCATTTTACATATGGGAAATCTAGACTTACAGAAGTTAAGTAACTTGCCTAAGTCCACATAATTAGTAATGTCACTGTCAAGATTCAAATTTAAATGTAGTCAGTTCTTCATGCTTTGTGATCTCTCCTATCCTGTACTGCTTCCCACGAAGTGTCTGAAACCAATACCAAATCTCTTCTTCTCTAGAGTCTTCCAGTATATAAAACCTCATTCCCCAAAAGTGTAAGAGGTGACATTCCAGTAAACTTAATGTAGATTTGCTTGGAGTGAGATCAGTGGCAGCCTTGAACATATATTTGAAATTAGAGCACAAGCTTTTGAAAATTTTGCTTCCCCTGAAATATTCAGAAACCATACACTTTTTTTCTTTGCTTTTTAGACTTACCTTCTCCGTGGCATTTTAATTGAAAGAGTTTCCCCTAAGATACTTAGGTACTTAACTAAAAATGCAGCATGATTCCTTTGGCATCTCTGATTAGATATCTTTCGCAAGTGAGGTTATGGTACTTGAACTGGGGAATACATTGTGCCCTGCTAAGGGTGTCTTGAAACTGTATTCGTTAAAATATTGGCAGAAAGGATAGGTGCATATTTTGTACTTATTTTTTGTATATTTGTAAAATGGTAGTCACTTGAAGCAAACAACATCAGTGCAAGCCCCTTTCTCTTTTCAGGCTACTCGACATGCAGAAATGGTGGCCATTGATCAGGTCCTCGATTGGTGTCGTCGAAGTGGCAAGAGTCCCTCTGAAGTATTTGAACACACTGTGTTATATGTCACTGTGGAGCCGTGCATTATGTGTGCAGCTGCTCTCCGCCTGATGAGTATCCTTTGACTTCATGAGTTAATGTCTTGTACCATTCATGTGAACAAGAGAGTGGCCTAAATATGAAAACACGGACTTAGGAAACACCTTGTAAAACGTAACGTAGTGTCTCTTAAAAAAAAGGAAAGCTTTTTAAATAGTAAAATGACCTATTTCTTTTCATATCAATAAACGTAGAATGATTACACAAATAATTTAGAGAAATAAAATGTTAGAACTATCTTAAGTAGTTATATAAAGATAAATCATAAATTAAGTTGAAGTGGATTATAAAACAGTTTGCAAAGGAAAAGTGCTAAAGAATATGCAGCTAAGTTTTGTCTTTGGATAATGGATTGTGAGTGATTTAAATTTTTTTCTCTGTTTATCTGTTGGTTTGTTTGCCATGAATACCTATTACAATGTACCAAACATTATCAGTAAAAAGTAAATGCGAAGTAAAAAATCCTTTATGATATTCTAATTGTAAATGGAAAATGAGTAGTTACTGCTCTTTGGATTGTCTTGCATGGATTAAGCAACTTAAATAGTTCAGAGACACTGCAGGGACTTCTAAAGATCTTTTTAAAAAATTATTTGAAAATTGAAAAACTCAGTTTTTTAGTTGCTTATTTTTTATATACTTATTTTACTATTTATGGATAGATAATTTTAACACTTCAAAAATAATACAGAAGTTTTTGGGTATGATAAAATGTACAGTCTCTATAAAAGGGTTATTATGGGCAACTTAGAATTCTCTCCTCATCCTGCCTTACAAAATAGCTAAGTTTTAGTCTATTTTATATTAGGGCATAGGTTATATTTTATTTGGGGCAAGAACAGGGAAGAATCTGTTATTTTTAAAAGGTGAAAATCCCTGGATTACATTTCTGCATCCTTTCTGGCTCTGACTCCCTGGTGATTCTGAAAAAGTGATTTAGGAAAGAGCAGAGAGAGCCCTGAACTGTGAACATTAAGCAACCACATACTCAGTTTTCATTCTGTTTGCAGTTGTTAAATATCAGTTTCTCAAACTTTAAACCCTTTTCTTCTGTGTAACTGGATTGTATGGTTTATAAGACTAATCCTAAGCTTCATTGTTTTGAAGAGTAGCATGAGCTTTCCTCTCCAGGATGGCTAGTATAAACATACTCTGATTTTGTCATGATGCATACTTGAACTGTACATTCTATGCAGGACCTTAATTCTGTCTTATAAATCCCACTGGTTGTATATGGCTGTCAGAATGAACGATTTGGTGGTTGTGGCTCTGTTCTAAATATTGCCTCTGCTGACCTACCAAACACTGGGAGACCGTTTCAGGTAATACAAACTGCTTATGCTTTTTCTTTCTTGCTAATTATTTTCATCTCTTTATGCACTTGTGAATAACTAGTGTGTGGCCAGTATATGAAGAAACCACAATAGAATCAGACATCTTGGATCTCAGAACCTCTGGTGGAGTTCATTTATGCCTCACTATAAGATGACAGGGAAGAGTTTCTAAATGAGTGCCTACCTGTCTTCATTCACAGACTCCCTCCTGAAGGAGAGTCCCCACCCTTCCCAGCTGACTCCGAACACTCTTCACCAACACTGTTAGGTATGCCTGAAGACACTCTCGCTGTTGGAGTTTTTATTCAATGAATGTTACCAGCTCTGTGCCCTACCAAGTTTGGTGATGCTTGGCCTGTGTCAGTGATGCTAGAGACTATTTACAGCACACACAATATTTTTGCACAAATTTAATCATTTTGCTTGATTGCCACATCCTACTTTTAGTATCTAGCAATCACTGTATTTTCATGTTTTTTTCCCTCTGTCTTTGTAATGTTGAAATTTCCCCCAGACCTAGGAATCCATGTCTTTAGTCTCTTAGAAATTCCCTTTTCCCTTTAATCTTGCCACTTCTCCCAAAGTTTTTATGGGTCAGACTATAAGCAATAGCAATTTGTATTTCAGAGTTTGGACTGTGACTATACTCCTGCTTTCATTAACTGGTTTGATTGTTTTTCTCTCTAAGATGTAAGGTTAATGTAAAAGTATTATGCTTTAAAAAGAAAAAACTTTAACAAATGCTGGATATGGATGGGTAGTTCACTTCAAACACTTCAGGTGTTCCTAGAATACTTTAAGGACCTATGAAGGACTAAATTTGGCTGAGTCTCACTGAGAACGAGTTTTTAAAACGTTCTTGAGTTTTCTAGCTGAACATTAGCTTTCCTATCAACTTCTGTACATTTGAGAATAGATACTGTTTAACATTACATCAGAAAAGAAATTGTAATACAACGATGGAGAGTGAAGGATACAACTGGCTTGATCATTAAAGATATTTAGAAAGTGATTTGATTTTTTCCAATCACTTCTCTTAGTAGCTCAAATTTGGCTTACATAACTCTTTGCAAATGAATTGCTGACTCTGTATTTCCTTTATGAGAATGATCTAAATAATTTTTCAGTTTCTGGGCAGAACAAAGATGAGCCTTTTGATGTCAGACATGGGAGGAATATTTCTCTCCAATGTGTCAGTGACATAGGGCACAAACACAAGTCCTTTCTCACACATCTTTGTCATCGATGCAGCAGAACCGAAACAAGTTCATTTGCAGTGTGTATACCTAGCCACATTGGCTCAGCTGCAAATCAATGACTGTGACTTGCAGCCGTATCTCCAGGCTTAATGCCAAATTATGGTTTTTTTAAAGGTGCTTTTAGATTCTAAGGAAAACAGTGGTGCCCCAGGCTCTGAATGCTGGGTATTCTTTTTTTGTTTGTTTGTCTGGGCTTGGGAGGCAGCAGCTGATTGGGAGGTGGGATACTGTTTCTTACTGCAGAATTACAGATTCTTTCATATGATATTATAAGCAGCATTAAAGTTTGTAGAGGCCGATAGAACTATTCTTTTCAAAGAAGATGGTGATTAATTATAATACCTGTTTGTTTTTTAAAATTTTTATTTTATGACTGGGTGCAGAGTCTCATGCCTGTAATCCCAGCACTTTAGGTTTCTGAAGGTGGGTGGATCACGAGGTCAGGAGATCAAGACCATCCTGGCTAACACGGTGAAACCCTGTCTCTACTAAAAATAAAAAAAATTAGCTGAGTATGGTGGTGGGCGTCTGTAGTCCCAGCTACTTGGGAGGCTGAGGCAGGAGAATGGCGTGAAACCAGTAGGCGAAGCTTGCAATGATCCGAGATTGTGCTCCAGCCTGGGTGACAGAGTGAGACTCCGTCTCAAAAAAAAAAAATTATTTTATTATTAATGTGTGCTTTTTATTAATGCCACAAATTTGTCGCTGTAATGGATACTTGAAAATATAAATAATAAATTATCTTGGTGTGTTAGAGTGGTGCAGTTTCCTTCAAGGCCTGTAACTCAGCAGTTCTCATTCCTGACTGCCCTTTAGAATCTCCTGGAGGCTTCTACGCCTGACTCTGCTCAGCCCTGCCCCAGACCCTGCTCAGCCCTGCCCCAGACCATCTGAATCAGAAGGCAGGGGGCCAACAGTGCTGTGTTTCCAGACAGCTCCAGGCGGTTCTCCTGAGCAGTCATGGTTGAGAACCACTGCTCTCATCCCACGTGAGAGGAGAGGGCTCTGAGTGTGCGAGTGGAGGGCGACTCCTGGAGAGCCCCAGCACTTAACGCAGCAGGAAGCAGAGGGCATCTGTGACGGGACTGGCCGGCAGTGGTTAGGATGGTGAAACGCTGAGAAGCCAAGGGAGGCAAAGAGCGGTCAGATGGAGCACGGTGGCCAGTTGCCTCCAGGACTGCAGAGTTGGGGAAGCTGAAAGGAGACCAGTGTTTTGGTCAGTAGGGACCTGGGGATTTCTGAGAGGGCAGATATCGAGGGAAACCCCACCCCTGATATTCAACATGGGTTCTTTTCTATTTCCCTAAGTGTCGAATGGTCTGAGAAATAAAGGAAAAGAGTGCAAAAGAGAGAAATTTTAAAGCTGGGTGTCTGGGGGAGACATCACATCGGCAGGTTCCACGATGCTCCCTGAGCTGTAAAACCAGCAAGTTTTTATTAGCGATTTTCAAAAGGGGAGGGAGTGTACGAATAGGGTGTAGGTCACAGAGATCACATGTTTCACAAGGTAATAAAATATCACAGAGCAAATGGAGGCAGGGTGAGATCATAGGACCACAGGACAGGGTGAAATTAAAATTGCTAATGAAGTTTTGGGCACGCATTGTCATTGATGGCATCTTATCAGGAGACAGAGTTTGAAAGCAGACAACCGGTCTGAACAAAATTTACTAGTCGGGAATTTCCTCGTCCTAATAAGCCTGGGAGTGCTATTTCATCCCTTTGTCTTCAACCGTAAAAGACAGCTGCCCTCAAAGCGGCCATTTTAGAGGCCTACCACAGGCGTGCATTCTCTTTCTTAGGGATGTTCCTTGCTGAGAAAAAGAATTCAGTGATATTTATCCTGTTTGCTTTAGAAAGAAGAGAAATGTGACTCTGTTCTGCCCGGCTTACCGGCAGTCAAAGTTTAAGGTTATCTCTCTTGTTCCCTGAACATTGCTGCCATCCTGTTCTTTTTTCAGGTTGCCCAGATTTCATATTGTTCAAACACACATGCTCTACAAACAATTTGTGCAGTTAATGCAATCATCACAGGGTCCTGAGGTGATATACATCCTCCTCACGAAGATGACAGCATTAAGAGATTAAAGTAAAGACAGGCATAGGAAATCACAAGGGTATTGATTGGGGAAGTGCTAAGTGTCCATGAAATCTTCACAGTTTATGTTCTTCTGCCATGGCTTCAGCCAGTCCCTCCGTTTGGGGTCCCTGACTTCCTGCAACAGGCAGATTCAGTGAAGCGCTGGGAGCTCAAGCCAGTAAAGATGAGGCCACTGAGGAGTGAAGGCAGGAGCAGGGTGTCAGCCTTTGATGGGGCAGGGTGGATGGAAGGTTATTTGTTATGGCAAAGGTTTATACAGGTGTGGGAGGCCCAGGCAAGGGCAGACTGAAGACACAGGAGAATGGGAGGTTCGTTCTGAACAGCATCTTGCAGTAGGTGGTCGTCCTGTCCCCTGTGCCTGTGCTTTCTGGCACCTTCCTTCCAGATGCTCATTTTGTCATTTCACGCCCTTCAGAAGGGTGCATGGTTTTAAGTCCAAACTCTTCTGACAAACTTTCCAAGCCATACATACTTTTTATCCCATTTTTTGTCTTTCTTTTCTTATGCTTCCTTAATAATCACCTCCTCGTCTATCAGCTGATTTCCTCATACACTACCCAGGCTGCTTCTTGCCCTTTCCCTGAAATGCTCTGCTTAGCCTCTTTAAATATTCTCTATCTCTAAGGTAAGTTCAAGTTTCGTGCCTTCAGGTAATATTTCATATGGTAACACTCCTTACTGATAACACAATTTCTTATTTGTTCTTTCACATGTTATAATTTCTTTTCCCCAGTTAGATGCTAAAGACAGAACAAGCTGAATTTTATTTTTTAAAAGCCTCTATAGCAAGGGTTGATAAGCTTTTTCTGCAAAGGGTTAGCTAGTAAATATTTCACCCTTTTTGAGCCACTTCTGTCTCTGTCACTTAGTCCTTTTTTTTCTTTAACAAAACTTTTAAGATATAAGAACCATTCTTAGCTCACAGTTCTCAGCTTTGTAACGGATTTGGTCCACCAAGTATAATTTGCCAACCCTAGCTCTATAGCATCAAATGCTTAATGGGCCACTAGTAAATAGGAGCAGGTAAAAATAATGCTTAATGAGCACTTATGATGTGCCAGGTATTTAACAGGTATTATCTCACTTAATCCTCACAAAATCCCACTGAAGTAAGTGCTGTTATTGCCAACGTCTGATAAATAAGGCATGGAAAGTTTAAGTGCCGAACCCGAGATCACTAAGCTGGTAACTTCTACAATAGTTGATGGATGAGTAACAGCTGATGGGGGGTGAAGCCTCACTGAGGCCGTATATCAAACGTCTTTTGGAAGTGTGCCTCCTTACCTATGTTACTAATATCCCCAAAGTTTATTAGCATATGAAATCTGTTTACATGATCACATATATATTGTTGTTTTTGTGGGATACAACACACATTTTCATAGGCCTATGTTCATTCTCAGCTTTCTCATTCCATCAGTGTATCCCTGGATATCGGGCTGAGGAAGCAGTGGAAATGTTAAAGACCTTCTACAAACAAGAAAATCCAAATGGTCAGTTTTCTATTGTAAATAATGTACTTCCCTTAAATCTATACAAAGAGAGTCTGCTATGAGCTTACCTCTTCACTTTCTTTTTCTTTTCTATTCTTTTCACAGCCCCGAAATCAAAAGTTCGGAAAAAGGAATGTCAGAAATCTTGAATATGTTCTGATGAAAGAACCAAGTGACCCAAAGTGACTTGGACAAGATTCCTAGACTGAAAGCTGTTGACATCGTTGAATCATATGTTTATATATTGTTTTTAATCTGTGGGAAAATGGTGTCTCTCATCATTTGCTCTGTTAAGGGAACAAATTAGCACTTTTTAGAAGTCTGACAATTGTAAACAATTGTTAGCTTTTCCACAAGCTGATTCCCATTTTGAGATGGGGGTAAAATTAAGTTTGAGGTTTTAGAAATTAGCAAGTAGTGCGTACCGTTCCAGCTACAAGTGCCCAGTCCAGGCAAGTGCTGACTTTTTAGAGAATGTGTGGCCAGACCCAGGGGCCTGGAGTGTGTCTGAACTGCATACAGTGTGCCACCCTGAGAACACCTTCTCCAGGACTGCCATTTCAGAGTCAGATTCTTCGTTTTTTGCAGCTACGATGTTCTCCCAGGTCAATGAGGGGCTGTGACTTCTCTCTAAATTGTATGTAAGTTGTGTATATAGAGACCATAATTATATGGTTCTTAAAAAGACTTTGCTTTTATAAAGCATTTAGAGAACATGCATAGTTTTAAAACAAGTGCTTGGGTTGTCACTTAAATTATAGCGTATTGCTATAATAAAACCTAATTTATGTCTTATTTGAAGATGAATAGTCTTCAAAGATAAAGACTAAATGGGACAATTGTTATTGAGCAAAAAAACAAATTATCCTGCCCTCATGGAGCTTATATTCTAGCGAGGGGAGATAGATATGATAGATAACACAGTTTATTGGAGGACAATAAGAGTTACGGCAAAAAGCAAAAGGAACACAGGGTAAAGGGGATGGGGGCCAGTCGGTGGTGAGAATGCTGACTGAAAAATAGATTGGTCAATTTAATCTGAAACAAACGGTTATTTCTTTAAAAATCCATATAACAAATTTAAAATCTAAAATGTAAAACTTTGAACACAACACTAGAAAGGGTATCCACAGCACGAAGTCCCCAGTTCACCTACCTCCTTGACTATAGGGCAGCTTTGCACAGCCCCACTGGGCGCACTGTGTGCTTCTGCCCAGAAGGGGGCCTCGCCGTTCCACCAGAAGCTCAGCTCCAGGCCCTGGAGGGGCTGCTGCTCCTCAGTTGCATTTCTTCAGTAGATTCATTTCCTTGATGCAAAGCATCTGTATTTGTTGGTTCTGTCATTTGAGCGATGTCTCTGACTTGTTTGTTTTGAATTACATTACAGGCTGGAATGTAATTGTGGTGAAAGTATTTTTATATTGCTGAGAGTAGCAGCTAATCACAGTTACATGCTTCAGAGGATTTATAATTGCTTGGTTTTGTGTGTGTGTGTGTGTGTGTGTTTTTAACTGCATTTGAAAAGTTTTATGAAGAATATGCATGATTTTAAATCTGTGATAATGTTACATGCACCTTCAATTTCATCCACTTTAAAAATTATCTTCTTATTAAATTTTAGTGCTTTGACTAGTTTGTTCCTTTTTGCAGTTGGTCGTAATTCATTTCTGGCTTCTTATGCTTTTCTGCAAGCAGATTTCATTGCACTTATTGTGTTCATATCATTTTCTTGGGGATTATTTGTAGGACAACCAACCTGGAGTTTTGTCTCTGTGGAGTACCACCCGGTAAGTCTGGCTTAGCATCTTATGTCCAGTAGGTACTTAGTAAACATTTGCTAAATGAAATTACTCCTTGAAATTTGGGGAAAAGTGAATAAGACTATCTAGGACAAAAAGTCAAAGCCAAAAATAGTATATGAGTATTCTAGCCCAGAGACAGTTGCTACTGAAAGAATCAAGGAAATAATAAAATGATAGACAGGGAAGGATAGAAAAGACTTAACAATATACGTATGTTGTGTCTTTGCTGTTTTGGAGAATGGTGGATAAGTAGTGTTTCCTGATTCTGAAGCATTGCTGAGCAGTTTGTGATTTACCATCTTTTTGGTTCCCTCTTCAGTGATTGACCTATCGAAAAGTCTGTCCTAAATTTTTGGACTGGGGCACAGTTCCCTCCATCGCTTTGGGGGAAAATCATTAATATGGCATACTGCAGATCAGAGGGCAGGACCATTGAGGGTGTCATAGACATTAGCTCTGTGGAATTCTGCTAGCAATTTCCAAGTGATGATGAGGACTTGTGAGTATATGTTGAGATCATTCAGCTTCCTGAGTACCACATTCCCCAGCTACTTAGACCTGGGTTAAAATATTAAGATGTCCTAGTTCAAAAGCTTGAATTCAATTGATTGATACTGATAGTGCTGTCCAAGTGACCAACTGAAAGACTTGTTTTGTGTATGAAATAGTTCTGAAAGTGGTGAGATACAAAAAGGTTTTAGAATCACTGCCCTATTGAGAGAGGAAATGATTACATTTAAAGCTGCTAGAGTTATCCAGTGTTTGCTGGTCTTTGCAACAAACTGTGGAGAATGGGCGGTATGTAATGCTTTGGCAGCCTTCAATCACTGATAAAAGATCATGTTAAAATATCTTTATACTTTCTTGTTATTTGGCACAGTCATCTCTTCCTGTGTTGTATTTAGAGTATCTTGGAGAGAAAATAGGTGGCCAAGAGCTTCAATGTAGGCAAGAACTCTTAATTTTTTTTTAAACTTTTTACTGGGAAAGTATACACACACACACACACACACACCCACCCACCCACCCACCATGGCCCTTTACCCCGAAATGCTTCAGTATAGTTATTGACTTAAGTAAATTTAACATTGATAGACTTGAATCCATCATTTGTATTCCAGTTTTGTCAACTGACCCAGTAATGTCCTTTAAAGAAGTTCTCCCACTGCCCTATAATCCCAGGTCCAGTCTAGGGTCCAGCATTACATTTACTTGTCTTGAATCCAGCTTTTTTTTTTTTTTTTTTTTTGATGGTGGGGGTTGGTGGGTAGGTCTCACTCTGTCGTCCAGTGGCATGATCACAGCTCACTGCAGCCTCAACCTGGCTCAAGCAATCCTTCCCCCTCAGCCTCCTGAGTAGCTGGAACCACAGTCTCATGTCACCATACCTAATTTTTTTTTTTTGTAGGGACAAGGTCTCACTATGTTGCCCAGGCTAAGTCTCGAACTCCTAGGCTGAAGCAATCCCTGCTTCCTTGGCCTCCCAAAGCACTGGGATTATAGGTGTGAGCCACTGCACCTACCTGCCTTTAGCTTCTTTTAGTCTAGAACATTTTCACTGGCTTTCTTTGTCTTTTATGACATTGACATTTTAAAATAATACCGTCATTTTGCCTCCTCTCCCTCTTCTTCTTCTTTTTAAAATAATAGAATGGTCCTTGTTTTAAATTTATTTGATGTTTTCTCATGATTAGATTCAGGTTCTGGGTGATGTTAAGTTCCTCACAGGATATCACATCTGGAGGCACACACAGGCCATCACACTAAGGTGATGTCAGTTTTGGTCATCTGGTCAAGGTATTGTCCTATTTCTTCACTATATAATTACTTTTTTTCTCTGTTGCAATGAATAAGCAGTCTATGGGAAGAGGAGCTGTTACATTTTAAACAGAAAATGTATTTGACACTGATGGAAAGGAGAGAAGGAAAATTAATGACATAAATTTCAAAGCAGCTATTAAATTATTTGATTGCATTCCTCCTCTTTTACTATGTCTGCCAAAATTGATAAAAAATTTTTTCTAATAAGAATGTTTTAAATAGTGATATCTTAATAAGCATCAGAATTAAGCCTGATAAATAAATTATTTCCTTCTTAATTTCCTCCTCGGCAAAAGTAATAGTTGTATAAATTTCATTATGCCTGATAAGATAGGGTTTTGGAAAAACAGACCTAAGGTGTTTCTGATACTGCAGATGACCTATGGTGATCCAATGGGATAAAGACTCTAGGTAGGTTGTCATTTGGTCATAAAATATGAGTTATCTTGGGTTTCCATAGAGACATCTAGACTTAAAATGTTGTAAGCACTGCTTCTTTCAAAACGTCAGTAAAAACAGCAGAAGCCAAAGCTCTTGAAAAAATTACTTAAATCTTTTTTTAAAAGTAGTATAGCGCCTTGTTAAAAATCTGTGGTGAAGCCAAAGCTTGTCTTTCCCAGTGGTCCTACATGAACTGGCCTTGAATAGCCCCAGGGAAAAGAGACACCAGGAACTGGTTTCTCTGCCTTTTGGCAAAGGAATAAGACTACATTGACTTCATCTATGAAGACAACAGCCAACTATTTCCTTTGTAAATTGCTAATTTTGTGTAGTGAGGAAAGGAGTGATGGGCGATGTGATTTTTACGGGTAAGACTGGTATAAGTTCTGCTGAAAGTTTGACATCTTTAGGATCTTACATTTTCTTCAAGTTGAACTAATAAAAACAGGCTTGTGACGATTATTTCTAACCTGATTTCTAAGTGGATATTGGGTTGAACACCACGTGTCCATGACTATTAAGGAGGCTTCATGGTGTAGTTTGACAAAGGCTCCCTCCTTGACCAAACTTTAGTCAGGCCCTGAGTCTTCTTTTCAACCAGGACTCCACCTTGGTCCCCATACGTGATGGACCTATATAGCCCAGCTTTAGCAAGAATCCTGCTAAGTCAGTTTAGAGAGAATCCCCCATCCTCAATATCTATGAAATTTTTCATCCTCTACTTTTGATGTGTAAGTTCTCAGCCCCCCTTCAACGAGAAGCCTATTAAGTTCATTTTGCAAGAACTCATCTACTCTTGATATCTCCTCTTAGTAATTTTCTAATCACTGACCCCCTCACTCTGCCCATTAGTTTTAAACCCCCACATGTTCAGGTTGCATTCAGAGTTGAGCCTGATCTCTTCCTCTGTTGCGATAGTTTTAAAACCTATCACTGTAGTCCTGAATAAAGTCTTCCTAACCTTAGCAAGTGTCAAAATAAATTTTTATTTAATCTGTTGAAACATGAACTTGAGAATCTAGAGTAGGAGGCCACAAAGTATGGCCCGTGGGCCATATCCAGCCCTCTGCCTGTTTTGGTACCACTCATGACTTAAAAATGGGTCTTACAATTCTGAGTGATTGAAAAAAAATCAAAAGAAGGATAATATTTAGTGACCCATGAACCTTATATGGCAATCAAATTTCAGTGTCCATAAATAAAGTTACATTGGATGACAGCCATGCCCATTTGTTTCTGTGTTGTCTGTGGCTGCTCTTGTGCTGCAATGGCAGAGTCAAGCAGTGGTGACAAACCATGTGACTCACAAAGCCTAAAGTATTTAGCATCTGGCCCTTTGAGAAAATGTTAGCTGCTCCTGGTCTAGAGTAGGTAAAAGGCTGAGATTGGAAGCTGCTTGTTCAAATTCTGTGACTTTGGAACTGAATAATATGGCTCATTGTGAATTGTTTCAGTACCATGGTTTTGTTTTTTCCTTTTGAAAAGCTGGTTCAGAAATGTAAAGGAAAAATCCAAGACAACAAAACATGTTTTCTGGCTTAGAATGTTTTATTTCCTTATATACATTTTAAGAGAGTGGCAAGGATAAAAGAAAATGTACCCTTTTTTTGGGTTTAGAATAAATAATACATTTTATTTATGATCATCATGTTTAAAATATTATTTTCTGTTACTGTCTCTGTTTTACATCAAGTAAGCTGAGGCACAGGGACATTATGTAACTTGCCCAAGGTCACAGAGTGCTAAGTGACCACATCACTCAGAAGGAGCTAGTTAAACCAGTGTAACAGCCTTCAAGTTTTAGTGGCTTAGAACAAAAGCTTATTTTTCTCATGCCTTGCTTCTTGTCTGTCTCAGGTCAGGCCAGGAGCCTAGTCTAAAGGAAACTGTACCACCGGGGACATCAGCTGCTGTGGCCAGAGAAGAGAACATGGTGAATAATGCTTCATACCTTAGGGCAGAGCTTCTCAAATTTAAACGTGCATAGGCATCTCCTGGGGAGCTTATTAAATCCACATTCTGATTCAGGAGGTCCTGGTGGGCCTGAGATGCCATGTTTCTATCAACCTTCTAGGTGATGCCTATAGTGCTGGACCATGGGCCACACTTAGAGTAAGGTGGACTTTCTGGCTTTTGCCCAGAAGTGACACATCACTTTTGCTCTCAAAATAAATAAAGCAAGTCACATGGCCATGCCCAACTTCAAGGCAGCAGATAATGTAATCCATCATCTACATCAGGAAGAAGAGAATTGGAATTTTTGTGAACAGCTCCAGTGAAGAGCAAACAATGTGAAGCTAGGATCTGAATTCAGGCAGGCTGGCCCCAGAGTCTGTGCTCTTAACTATAACTATATACAGTCATGGGTGTTGGTTCAGTCTCTATAAAGAGAATACTTGCCAGGCAGACAGCCAGTCGGGGAGTTAGAGTTGACTTGTGTGACTTAGACAGCTTTAGAGTTCAGTGCAGCAATTCTCAGCATGGTGCTACAACTCTGAAGTGTTTCAATTCATTTTTGTATCTTAATAAATTATTTTTAAATTAAAAACATAGCTGGGAGCAGTGGCTCACCCCTGTAATCCCAGCCAATCCACTTGGCAGGTGGATTGCTTGAGCTTCTGAGTTCGAAACCAGCTGAAGCAACGTGGTGAGACCTTGTCTTTATAAAAAATAGAAAAAATTAGCCAGGCCTGGTAGCACACTCCTGTAGTCCCAGCTACTTGGAAGGCTGAGGTAGGAGGATTGCTTGACCCCAGGAGACAGAGATTACAATGAGTACCTCTGTACTCCTGCCTGGGTAACAGCAAGGCCATATCTCAAAAAAAAAAAAAAAATTAATTATTTTTAAAAACATACCTTCTAGTAGAATCAAGCCTCTATACTCTCTCGTCTAACATTCTGCTATGCTTTCTTGTTCTGGAGAAGGGGAAGGGTTAAAGGCTGGAGCTGCTGGTCTGGAAGAGTCCTAGGCTTGTAGTCAGCACAACAAACTCAATTCCCAGATGCTGTTGGCTGAGAATATGCAGATATGAACCTGCTGCCTGTACCCATAACTGGGAACTTCTAATATGGTCATAAACTACTGAGTATTGTGTGTGGGAGTGGTGGGTCTCAGGCCCACATTAAAGTCTTCGATAGTGAAAAATGGACTGGGTTACCGTCAGCAGGGTGCTGAGTGACTATTACATCTCCCTTGATTGACCTTTTGATGCCTACAGAAAGCCCACATCCAGTGCCTACAGCACCCACTTTGCTGTCAGTTCCCAGGCTGAAATGAGGAGGGACTGTTCAGAAACATCGGACTGAGCAAGGTCTCTGTCTACCTCATGGAAAACCTGATCTGGAAGTGACACTTGGAATAAAATACGATTACTCTTCCATTAAAAGGAAATCCACCCAAAAGAGAGAAATAGTGGTATATTTCAGTTTTACATGATTTCTTGAGATAAGACAACCCATTGCGTTGCTTGATTCAGTTAGCAATTTAGCTAAGTGTGTGAGAGAACATGGGCCTTGACTTTTTTTCTTTCGGAAAATCAAGTTTGCCATATTGAAAAATGCTGTCAGCTCTGCCCACCAGTTCTGTC